CAGAATGTTACTAGAAAATCCTTGTCAAGTTTATGGACTCAAGTTACTAGAATATCTAACATAGCTACAAAGCAATCTAGATCATAAAATGAAAAACAACTTTGAAAATACAAGTATAGAAGTTAGAACTATTTCCTCATTACCTCTAGATCTGTCAAATCCCATGGATACAAGCTCTTCAATTCTAGCATTTGCGGCTCGTTCCTTCCTTTTCCTTTTCCTTGATTCAATATCAAGCTGCAGACAAACATAGTCAATGAAAGCCGCAAGGCCAATAAAATTTAAAATTGGGAAAATTTCATAAAAAAAAAGAGTCAACCTGGATAGCAGAATTAATTTCTGGATTGGTCAGATCATCTAATGCCTTTTGAAAATCATTTTCATTCCTTCGAAGGGCTTCAGCAGCAAGTTTCTTCTCAAATCTGCCAAATAAAAAATATCTTAGCCTTTCCAACAAAATAAAAAGAAAAAGCAAAGAAGAAAAAAAAAGGAGAAAGTTAAGCTTTTTGTGGATGGTACAATGGAAGTATCACTAAAGCCTAAATGAATGAACTGTCCTTATCTCCATTTTACTTTCATTACTATGAAGCAACTTGAACTTTCGATGCCAACAAGTATACACCAAAATGATAGTCATCATATCACATCAATGAAGATTTAGATAGACAAAGAAGAATACAGTACACTGCTCACCCAATAGCCACTAATTCTTTCAATTTCTCAAGATTCACAGCCTTCTTCAATGGTGTTACTCCATATTGCTTCAGCTCCCTGAAAATTTGTTACATTATTTTATTTGTACATAAAAGAAAATGACAATTGAAACAGAAATTAAGCATATTATACCCACATGATTTCCTCTCTATGCCTGATATCATCCTCCCTCTTTTGTGCTATCTTTGCTTTTTCCTCAAAAAGAAAATCAACAGCTCTCCCAATATCTTGATTGTTCAATCGTAATGCCCTCCTTGCATCACGTTCCTTAAAGCCCATGCTCATAACATGAGATAAGGCTTCGTCAGACACTTGTAACTGATATCAACACACAAACAATAAGGCTTAATGTTGGAGAAGGATGTCAATCAAGTATGGTTAAGAAAATAAAAGTTGGAAAAACAAAAGAAATGGCAAGCAAATTACAAATCCAGTCTTATAATTCTTGGTTCATAAGATACGACAATAAACACTCCCATTTTATCTACTCATTGAATCCAAACCTAATCCTGTGCTCAAAGGTTGGCTGCAGGCATTCTGATACGGGTATTTTGAGACGAGAGGCACTGTGGTGGTCCCCCCGGACCAACCCAGTCAAATCAGAAAAAGGGGAAGAATCAATGTTCTCCCCTTTACAATAGAACCATCAAATAAAGATGAACAACGAAACAAGATATCTGAAAAGAACTAGCTGCTTTGACAATAAGTAAAGGAACCTGTGAGAATTTTGCTTGTGCAGATGTCAGAGCCATTTTAGATTTATCAAACTGACCATTATGGTATGCCACCACCCCTTCCAACAACTCCAACCTCATATGTCTACAAAGATAGAACGCAAAAGAGATTAGCCAAACATCGCAACCAACAGCATTCTCATTCAAGACCAGAAAAATAAAAATTGATCCACTGAAGCAATTTTCTGAAAGTACTCACAATGCAAGCTCTGGTTGGCAACCAGCTTGAAGGAGTCTAACACGGGAAAAATCCTTCCCATGACAACGTTCAAGTCCTTCTCTGGCTTTTTCAAGGCGTATTCCTGCTACTGAAAGCCAACTGATATCTCGAAGCAAGAAATAGCACCACACAATGTCTATTTGCAGTATTGTACATTGTCAATGAACTGCAATCAAACACACACAGCCAAAGTGTGGAAGATTTTATAAAAAGCACGCAATCATTCAATAGCATATGCATGTTCACGAATATATAGGGTTAACTAAAAGCTAAAGCAACTTTTATTTGTATCTATAAACAGAAAACTGATCCACAGCATGGACTACTTATTCAGAAAATAAACCTTCTTCAATTCTAAGAAAGAATGTCTTACCTCAAGGACCTTGGGATCACAAAGTGAGAAAGCCTCCTACAATAAAGAATAAGGTACGTATATTAATTAATTATCAGACCCAAAAAATTATTTCAACATATAACTATATTATCAGCTTCTCTAACAAGCTATGTCATATCTAGGCATGGGTATAGAGATACAACCCTCCAAATATATGAGAAAAATTTATTATATCCATGTACATGTATTTGTATTCGACACGCATTCCCCAAATCCAATTAACATTCCAGACAAGAAAGTTTATCAACTGCTATTCTAAGAATCCAGATGCAAACAAGAAAAAACAGTGTTGAAGCAAATGTGGGAGGATGTTAGCAAATAACCTCCCCCATGGTAAGCACTTCCAGTGCATCTTTATAGAGTAATCTCCTAAGTAGATTCTTTGCATTTTCATGAAGCATCAAACCCATCATCACTGCCCTGTTCAAAGACCATTCATATCTTAATTTAGTTTTAAAAAAATGGGGTCAACTATCTTAATAACCAAAGAGAAAAAGGCATACCGCTGATCAGTCTCGGTTCCTAATTGCACTTTTTTCCCTCCCTGGTTTTCAAGTTCAATATTGAAGTCTTCAACTGGTAACGAGCCATCTACATGTCTCTTGGAAAGTGCAGTGGCAGATGCCCTGCCAATAGAGATAACTATGGATTAGTGACCGTGTAGTTTTATTTTCATTCACACATGTTCCTGATTCTAAAGATCATAATTTTCCTCACAATTTAGAATAAATTCGGTAACTTTGATTAAATCAATGATTTTCTATAAAACCAAGAACCCAATCAACCATCAAAAAGAGCACCCAGCTTCTATAAAAATAAGTACAGAGTTGACCAAAGACTCACTTGACTCGAGCAAGTCTACGAGAGCGCTCTTCCTCGGCCATCAACTCTTGTTTCAAGGACTTGCCTTCATCAACGGAGACACGGCTGGCCAGAATCTTAGCATTGTTTTTTATACCCAATTGGCTTAACTTCTGGGACCCATCGCCGTCTTTCAAAACTTTACCGGCAGAAATAAGGTTGATGGAGTCGGGATGAAGGCCGTTCGATCGCTTGGCTACCTCTTCCCTCAGCATAGCCACCGTCCAATTCTCCAATTCTAACTCTAAAACACCAACCCATGTCCCTCCGATTTTCAATTTCGCCATACCCAGATAATTAAAAGAGTAAAAAAAAATTATCTTTTTTGAAAGGGCAAAGACTTCCCCAGTGAGGACGAAACGTCCCAATTATATATAGGTTTGAAAGAAGTTTAATAGTTTGTGGTAACTTCGCGACCAAGTTTAACAGTTTGGGGACCAAGTTTAATAGTTTGGGGTCAACTATAGGGTAAAGTATGTATTTAATCATCCAACTATCACTTTGGTTCTATTTTAGTTATGTAACTATTTTTTTTAAAAAAATCATACTTAATATTACATTTTAGTTATGTTTTACTCACATGTCCTAAAAAAAACAGAATTGTTAACGTGGTAATTTTTATTTTTCAAATGATGACGCGACATTACCTTATGGTGACATATTAATATCACCATTAATTTTTTAACGATAGATGATCAAAACGAAACAAAACATAACTTTAGATATAATTAAAAATAATAATAGTTAGGACCAAGATGGAACCAAAGTTATGGTTGGGTGATTAAATATAGGATAAATTATGTGTTTAATACCTAAATTATCAATTTTGGTCTATTTTAGTACCTAAACTTTCAATTTTTATTAAAACCATACCTAATGTTTAGTTTTGTTTCATTTTAGTACCCTACCGTTAAAAACTTAACACGTTTAGTATCTAAACTATTAGTTTTTATCCATTTTAGTACCTAAACTTTTTTTTTTTAACTTAACGTTAAATTTTTAACGGGTACTAAAATAAAATAAAAACTAAACATTAGGCATAGTTTTAAAAATTGAAAGTTTAGATACTAAAATGTATCAAAATTGATAATTTAGGTACTAAATATATAGTTTACCCTTAAATATATAGTTTACCTTTATTATTATTAGAATAAACTACACTCACCATCACTTGACTGTTGACTAAATTATGTTTTTGTTATATTACTCTAAAAAATAATGTTTTAGTCACTTGATTTGTGCATTTCAATAATTGTATCGTCAACTTCTGAAGAGAAAGATGGCGTAGCAGTTAAATAAGTAACATAATAATATATTTTTTTTTTTATTAATTTAATCCATAATACAAAAAGATATATATTTTTAATTTTTGAGTTTGGTCCTGATATTAAAAAAAATAACTTGCAATGCTTTTTTTTTTCTCTATTTCCTTTCATTTCTATATTTTATTTCATTTTCCAACTTCATAAAATAACTCTAAAATAAATTGTAACATTTTACGTCGACAACTTCAAATTTAGGAAAATGTTTATTTATAAGTCTCATATTAATTAATTTAGTATGTTGAATCGACCTTGACATTAATTGTGTCGAAAAGAGGCCTTAATTGAAGAGAATTAGATAATTATTTAGAATTTATGATTGAAGAAATAATAAAATGAAAGGTCCTAAAAAGATAATTTATGCCAAAATATCAATGGATGGGCAAGAATATTATTTTGTTTGTTATGAATATTTATTTACGTGGATGTTTATATTTATTTATAAGATAATATTTTAATATATTTTATGATTAGAATTTTTAATATCATTAAATTTAAAGTTTTATATGATATTTATTCTTTATATCTATAGATATAAAGTTTAGAGAAAGTATTATACATAACTTAGATTAAAACCAGATGTGCAACACGATGGGTCGGTCCAGATTAGTTAAGGCAAAACTTTATAACCGAAAGTAAAAAAAAATATAATATTAAAACTTAATATGAATAGACAACAATTTATTCTTTGAACCGTCATTGTTAACATTTTTATTTTGTAGCAATATTCCAACACGATGAAATGATATTTTTTTATTATCTGCCATGAAATATATACACGACAGACCATGGATGAATTAGCAACAACAGGTACTGGTTTTCAAGAAGCAACTGATTATTTTGTAGCACAACTCATCAGGCAAGATATCAATCCCTTATGCTCTGTTTTAAGCTGAAAGTCGTCCCTTTCCCGCCTCTCTACCACTCGAACGAACTCGTCCGAGCTTAGGCTCCCATCACGATCCGAATCAAACAAATGGAATATTATGTTCACCACATTATCAGTTAACGATACTTCACATACCTTCAACAATAACATGCAACATTAACATATATGATATTGAAAATATACTTATATATGACACCCAACTCGATCCGAATACTACGAAAATAGCAAAGGATACGTACTTGGGATGCAGCTCTTTGGAAATCCGTTTTGGTTAGCACCCCACTTACTTTTCCATAGCTGAAAATGGCTAGAGAAAAGGATCGCAGCTTCTTTCGTAGATGAGCGAAGCTTTTGAATTCTTCGAATGAAATCCGAACGTCTTTGAGACTTGATTCGTTCGATATTTCGTCGACTCGATCGAGCAGCTTGCTTATGTCGCTCATATCGGCAGCGGCCACCAGCGACAATGCGAAATCTTTAGCTGATATCGTTCCATGCAGCTTGTAGTCGTAATGAGCAAACTCCAACCTTAGAATCTACAAAATCGAAACACGGTAATTACTAACTAGTTTCTTCCTGAATGTTAATTCCAGCTTGTCTTGAATGGAACACATACTTCATGGTGTAAATCTCGTAAAAATTGGACGAATTTGTCGTGTTTTAGACACGTCTGGCCGTCTTGGCCGAAGAAGTACTCCACCAAGCCTCCGTTCTCGACAGGCTCCGCGATTTTGAGGCCAATTCTCCGCCCATCGCGGTGGCGAGCCGCTTGTTTATTTTGCGATCGCATCAGCGTCATCACTCGCTTGAATTCTTCCCTATCTATTTCTCCGTTATTGTCAAGGTCGAACATTTTGAAAGCAATGGAGAAGCTTGATTCAGGAATGCTAAGGAGTGTAACAAAGAAGATGTACCTGCAAATGTTGAAATTGAAAACAAAAATTGAGGATCTTAAAGGTTGAACGAGGGGTGTTGAGGTATGGTCACACCCATGAAAACTTCAAATTTTCCGATGTTTTCTATCGATGGTCCAGTTTCATACTAGAGTTAAACAAGACAATGAGAAACGTACTCGGCAAAAGATATGAGTCCATCATTGTTGGTATCAAAAAGCATGAAAAAATACGACGGAGGGCAGTGTAACTCCCCGGGCTTCACCGGTTCCCCTCTCAGACAACCCTCTCGAATCCAATTCGATTCAGACGGAGGAAATACCGGAACAATCGCCCGCATCAAGTCCCCCGGTCTCATAAGAACATCGCCTTCTGGTGTTCTATAGGATGCAAAGTAATCGAATACCTGACTCATATAGAGAAACAATTCATAAGAACACCCCCTTCAGATATATAGTATTAAATTACGGTCCCAACACATTAGAGTGGTCACATATCGGTTTTTAAGTTCATATGAAAAGCTTTTACCTTTTCAGGAGGACTTTGCAACCTTATACGTTTCTCATAATTGAAGAAAACTCTCCTCCTGTATGATTCTGAAACATTAGAATAAAAAATTATGTATATATTAAAGACTTATAATGAAGAAATGCGATGGAAAAAGATTCAAGATCGGTGCTTTCTCAATCCCACAACATTACCACCAAAGAGATACTTGGTTTTCTTCTCGGGAACATGTTCGAACTGATCGGAAAAGCCGTCAGCGGCCAATGTCGCCGCCCCATTGGGCGCATCGGCAAAAGAAACCGAAGCAGAATGAGAAGAGTAGCAAAACCCTAAACCAGACCCAACGACGAAAACCCCAGTGGAGATTAATCTCAACAATTCCTCCCTTCCACTGGTGTGTTCACCGGAACGAGTGGAACCACCACCGGAGGAAGGTTTCTTCAACAAGCTTAAATACGAAGAAGATGAAGCAGATTCCTTCGATTGGTTAAACACAGACCGTTGATTAGCAACCACTTGTTTGATCAATGGTGAGGATTTCCTGAGAGATGGCAAAGAGAACATAGTACGGATTCTTTTTCTTATTCTAGGCTTGGGTGAATTGGTGATTTGAACTCTTTTTTTCTTCTTCTTTGGTTTTAACCGATGATGATGGAATAATAACTAAGTTGGGATGATAATACGTTCAGGACGGTTGTTTTTGACCGAGAAAAATGGCGGTCTTTTAGAGTTTGATTTTGATTACTACTACAAAAAAATTTCTTTCCTTATTTAATTGTTGGTGGTAGGGATGGGATACCCATCCGATGAGTTTTGATTTAAATCGATTCGGTTGGATCGATTTTTATTTTAAAATTTTAAATTTTAACTAAGTCAGATTTCTTTGTGGCCAATAGATAAGATACAATACAGATCTAAGATGAAAAAAAAATTAACTTGATCTAACCTAACATTATAATTATCAATTATATATTTAGAAATAATTACGATAATTCATATTTTATGTTATTTTTCAATTAAATTCTTGTTTTACTTCGTAAAAATGAATATATATATCAAATTAAATCAATTATAGATTCTGACGTCAAAATTAAGTTGAATGGGATTTTAAAAACTCGTATCGAAATACGAATGAAGGGGTTTAACTTTCAAGGCGAATTTAGATGGACTAAAAATTCAACCCGAGTAACTATCATCCTTGATTGGTTGATGGATAATTTTTACTTTTTTATTTATTATTTTTTCCTTGTTTAAGCTCCCTCTTACCAAACAAACGTTTTAGTGAGGAAAACATGAACATTTACATTTAACTTTTGAATTCGTGCTAAGCGGAGAGAAAATGGAAATTTGAGAATGTTGGGCACGGAGCACAGCAGCTAGCCTATCCATTATGTCTTTAAATAATTACTATCTTTTATAGACAACCGGGACTTATCCTAACGAGAAGATGGACCATTGGCGTTAGAAACTAGGTTTGAAGTTGAACTATGAAGAACCAAATTATTGTTAGATTTTAGATTTGAGTTAAAGTATGTTTTTTTCGTGAAGTACTGGATTCAAGTAATTATGAATCTAGAGCTGAATCAAAGAAGCAGGAGCAGGTCGAAAAAGAACATCGTCTTTCCGGTGACTGCACTAGTGGCACTACAGAAGTCACTGTCCCTGAAAATTTGAATGAGCAATTTGTCTTGCTTAAACAAAGTTATAGTTGATGTATTGAGATGCTTTCCAGATAGAGTACTAGTAATGAAGGTGCTGAAAGTACAAATACTCTAAAAGAAGAGGCCTATGATTATAAGATAATATCTGTTTAGAATTTACTTTAGCATATGATAACACACATTCGTCGTCGTACTTAACTATTCAAATCCAAATATTTTAAGGAGAACAACGATGTCTATTAGCATTAAAGCTATTCAATAAATTTCATTCAACTCGAAGATAGAACAAGTAGTTGCTGCCACAATTTCAACTACCTTCCGAATTTCAATATGTTGACAATCCCAATACACCCACCATATTTATTTACTCTTCACCTTTCTTGTCTATTTGTTATATAAACCCTCAAGGAAGGTTGGACCACTCACATGAAACAATCTCCAATCTTTTCAGCATCCTATCGTATAACCCATGGATTGGTACTCTTGGTTGTCTAGAACTGCCCTTGACCCCTCTCTTATCCGTGACTATGGCCTCGCCTTCTCCCGCAATCATCTCCAAAGAGAGGATTTAGCACAGTTCAACCACCAGTTTCTTCAGAGCATGGGCGTTTCGGTTGCCAAGCACAGGCTTGAGATTCTCAAGCTTGCCAGGAAAGAAGTTGACCAGCCTTCTAATAGCCAGTCCAAGCTCATTTTGGCAATCAACAAAACCAGAAAGTGCTTCAACAGGTGTGTTAACAAGTTGGTTCACCACCAGCATTACGCAATCGAGTCGCTTCCTGAGCCGGTTCGTTATCGGGATCAATGGAGGGGAGTGTTGACAAGGAAGTGCAAGAGTGAAAAGGAGGTTAACATAGAGCAGCCAGTGCCAAGAACAAGGAAGATAGCAAAATCCGGTCCCTTGGATTACAGGGAACAAGAGAAGAAGCTGCTTGCTCCTCCTAGGAGCTTAAAATTGTCCGGGCCTCTAGACAGAGAAACGCAGGAGAAGTTGGTGCTCGGTTATAGGAGTCCTACACCATCTGGTCCTATTGATGTTGCAGTGGCACAGGAGAGGCTGATGTTCACATGTAGGAGCCCAAAACTATCAGCACCTCTTAACTATGTAAGACCTCCAAGCCCAAAGATTCATGGTGACTACAACAAGGAAAAAGAAAGTGGGAACTATGGTGATCACACAAAATGGGCGGCTATGTTTCAGGACATGAAACCCACTTGACTTGGTCATTATATGTTTCCTTCCAATCAAAGGGACAAGTCCTATATGCCTTTGCATGTGAGTCTGATATAAGGTTAGGGAGCCCCAAGATTGTCATCACCATGCATACCAGATAGTTTATATCCATTTTGAGTTCATTTAATCTAAATCTTCAAGAATTATACATGCTTTAAGGTTTATATATGGTTTGTTAGGATGTTCTTGAGTTTCCAGTTCCATATCTTCAAAATTTGTAGATGGTTTGACACGGGTACGGATTATATTAGGGACAAAAACAAATTATCAATAGAAAATATAAAAAAATATATCTTAAATATATAATAATGTAAAAATTTGAGGGTATGACTGTCCCGTCTGTGCCCTCGATCCATCCCTGGTTTGACACTGTTATAGACTTATAGTGTTATATGCTTATAATGCCTTGAGTTGCAGACATTAAAGCCTGCCTGTCATCGTCTTCAAGTTGCAATAAATACCAGCGTCTCTTATTCAATGTAACTAAATATTGTAACCCTCGGCATCTACATTCTTTAAATGCTTGTCTACAAATAAAAATACAGCTCTTCCTTTCTGTTCATTTAAACAAAGGGGACACACCCTACTGGCAAATTACAAGATAAAAGGCAATAGCAAGATCAAGGGCTGTTGAAAATCTGTGGAACAGCTGGAATTAGGAGTTTTGTTGCAATTGCCTTTTGGTAGTTCTTTCATGAATCCATAAAACAATGCTGGTTGAAGGAGCTACTACAAAGAGTTAAGAGTGTGTTACTCGAATTTTCTTTTGACTGCTTGATAAAGAAATAAAATGAGAGAAAAATCAAGAACAAGTGATGAGCTACGGCCTTGGATTTAGTATGTACAACCATATTTATGTAACTATGGTTTTAAGGTTTGACATGCTGAACTTCTCTCTTTTGTCCGTGTTTTTTCTTCTTCTTTTTTAGAATATTTCGTGTAAATCTTTACGATCTTATTGTACGATCTTGTTTGTTTACTCACCATTATTCGTAACAGAAGTAAATCGGAGAAAGGTGCTTACTATTTTAAGCCAAAATGAAGATATTCATATGGCATTTTGCCTTTGGAACGACAAGGAACGTGTATAGCTTCATGTACAAAAACAATTAGAAAAAGAAGAGCCATTAGCAGCTTCCATAAAACACCATAGAGACCAGCAAGAACAAGTAAAGTGAGCCCAAAAATGTTTGGGCAATGCAAGAAACACTTTAATGTCACATTATCAGACATTAACCCTCACCAGCAACAAGTTCAGTTCAATGTTTTTGGGCTTCAATGAGGTCTCAACTGTTGTAAGGAAAGTAGAAACGTGCTTTCTTCATTATATATATATAAGAGATAATACTCCCGTTAAGATCAGAATTTACAAGAATACAAATAATAATTTTAGTTACACTTCTTCTAAATTTCTTTCCCATCTCAAGATTTTTAAAGAACTCATAACAAATATCTTCCGACATGTACTATTCAGAATATTACACCTAGAGAAGTTATGACCCCATCAACACAACTCTTGGACAAGCATCACATGATTTGTTAGAGTTAAAATTAATCGACAACTAACCACATCAATCAAGTTTATCTACCATATTAATTATAAATAATAATAATAATTAAATTGTGTCTAACACTCACACTAAATATCATTATAAAATATTTCGAACGAGATTGAGCGAAGGGTCTGAAACCTCTTTTCTTTGCTCGTTGACATTTTCAAAAAGATAAAAAAAAATGATATTAATCAATGTTGTTTGATCATTTATTCTTATCAACGATTCTCTTTATCAATGAAGAATATTATCATAAATTATAAATCATCAACATAAGTTACAAAATAAATAAATAGATTAATTTACAGGTTACATCATCTGATCTGACCAACTCCACTTGATCTAATACTTAACACATTATATGGGATAAGAAGATAATAAAATAAAGAAATAAATACCAGTAGGTAGACAGATACCTTAAACACCCAGTTTTATCCAGAAAGAGACAAACAACACAGTTGAATTCCATAACTCCAATTGCCACACCATAGTCTTCTACGCATTATCTTTTGTTTTTGTAAGCAGCAGCTATAGCATTGCAACACTTGAATACAAAAACTTCCAAAACTCCATTAATCCATCCTTATCCTATCGTGTCGAGAAAACAATCATCAAAGGTCCCACGTGGTTGGTTCATGCACATGGGGTTTGTCATTTGTCATCATCCTCAAACTAGAAATAAACAAGGGAAAACCTTCACTGAATTTGGATGGGATGATTACCAACCTCAAACTAGGAAACAGGTAAACTAGGGTTGCAGGATTTAGCATATCAGAAATCACCTTATCTGATAAGATTTTTAATGGTTTTAAAGTAGAGTTGTAGACCAAAAGGACCTTTTCTTGAGTCAAGATAGAATATAAAAACAGACGTAAAATTAAAATTTTATATTGTCAGATCTCCTCAATCCATTCTGGATGGATTGATGATGATTAGATTCCCCACTTGGATGGCGGAAAACATTTGGTGGGGATGGTACGGTGCTTACATCATCACAGGGAAATTTGATCTTTCTTTTTGGGTTTGAGTGAGAGTATGTGGGGGCAAGCCCGCAAGAAGATAATGTTAACTATGAAACTCCCAAGGAAAAATTGATATGATAATGAATGCTTAAAAATTTAAATTATTATATTATTTTAATTTTTTATATAATTTTATTTAAAATTTGTGTTTATGATTCTATAATTTTATAATATTATTTTTTAAAATTTTAAAAATTCATCTTTTAACATAAAAATTTTGCTTTTATCCCTACAGGACTCATATGCTCATAAGAGATGAAAGTATTGTGAATATAAGAAATTATATTAAAAAAATTTAAAATATAATATTATAAAATTCTAATGATATCTAATTAGATTATTAATAAAAGATGTTAAGAAAAAACACTTAAATAATACGAAAATATAAATTTTGGAAATAATTAATCTATTTTACAGTTTTACCCCTCACTTTCTTATAAATAACAAAATTCATTTCATTGTTTTAAGCAATGAAAAAAATTATCAGCTTCCTCTCATTTTCTCTACTCATATTTTGTAAATCTATTCCTCTAAAAAGGTTATATCATTTAAATTTCATCTTCTCCGTTCGAGTTGTATGAATATAGAAATTCTATATTAACCTTGATGGATAATGTTTATTTTACAATTATAGAAAGCAATACAAAATCGTTCTTAATACAGTAATTTTTTCCGTGACTTTGTATTAATGATAAAGTTTTTTTTCGAACAGTCTTAAGTAATTATAAAATAGTGTCTATTTAAAAAATTAATTTATTAATAATACATATTTTACAAACGTATTTATTTAAACTTAAAATATTTAAAAATAACAACACTCATTTTTACTATTGAAATCACTTAATAAATTTTATTAATGAATGAAGTTTAATTGATAAATAGATCTTAAATAAATATTTATAATGTATAAATGCTAAACTTTAAATCCTAAATAAATATTTAGTTAAAACGAAATAGAAGTTTAAAATAATCGACCTGGATAAAGTAATTTATTGTCTAGGAATGAGAATACAACAAAAGCAACACGATATGTTCATTTACCGGTAGAATACAAACCCGAAAATTGTTACTTTCTTTTAATCTTAATTCATCTTGAGGAAAACTATGGGCAAATGGAATCCAATTGAGATTTGACGCTCTTACCCGGTTGTGGGGTTTGGAGCGCGACGACAATGAAAAAACCCCAAGGATGACGCTACCGTCAACATCTATCGCTTTCGAAAAACCCTTGCCTTCATTTACAGGCTAGAATTCCGAAGTTTGACAATGAGATCTCCACTTTAGGTGAGGGGTGTTATATCCAATATTATAAAAGGGTAAAATTAAAAATAGTCATTATTTTCATATCATCTTTTTAAATACTAAGCTTTTAAAAGTACTGAAATCAACATCAAAATAATGATCCCTAAAAACTTAATACTTAAAAAGATGATATGAAAATAATTTACTGACTATTAACAATATATGCAGAAACAATATATACTCTGCATATATTATTGCTCGACTTTTTAATGTATGTTCCGACTTTTTTCAATTCCGATATATCATATTTTGATATAATTGAACAGAAAAACATGGAGCATTGGTGGGGTTGAATGAAAATGTTGTGGAGGGTATTGATTTTCTGTAATGGCGTTGCAGATTCGGTAGGAATTAGGAGGTAGGAACGTTTTGTTGGGGCTTGATATAATGCAGTTTTTTTAGTCATGGTTTGATGACCAATACAATTTTTTTAATTGCAGATTCAATGCTCTTAGTTTTCATTATTCCATTATTAATAAAATAATCGCGCCTCCTGTGGCCTTAAATATAAAAGAAAACGGCCATAATTATTAATTGCTAAATTTAATTTGAAACTTGGTTGTCAAGGCAAGGCTCCATCGCGGGATTTCCCCGTAGTTTATTTTCTTCCTTATTACCATTTTACTTCTACCCTTTACGCATCAGTTAAGTCCAATTAATATGATTTCATATCTGTGTTTTACTTGTTATACTCTTAATTTTTCATCAAGGGTCCAAAGCCCAATATTGTCATTTCATATTCTTCTCCAACGCTAGGGTTTTTTCGACTTCAAGGTCGAAAAATCAGTCAAATTACCTTTTGTCCAAGTAAAATCCGTATACGTAAATTCCGCCCGCGACTTATACTCCAATTCCTGCAAAACAGACAATAGAAGAAAATTAAAATGAATTTACAAAGACTGAAAACAAATAAAATAAAAACAAATTTTACGAAAAAAAGATGTGGACGGAATGGGTAAATAAAACAAACAGAAGAAACTGATGGAACGGAAAACCTCGAAAGAATAACGATCACGGTAAAAGTAAAGAACTGCAATCGAATGGAATGAAATAGTGTTTGGAGAACAAATCAAATGGAAACAAAACTCGAGGACGAGCAAATCTGGAG